CAAAGGGGAATTACATTAAGTGGCACACATGAAAGGCCTGGCAGACTCCAAGCCCAAAACCCGCACTCCTCACCAGTTCCCAAGCTGGAGGAGCTCCATGGGATGGTGATGGACCCATAGGTATGGAGATGAGCACCCTGAGGCACTGGGCCTTCCCCAGTCCCAGTGATGTTATTCTGGTCTGCTTAAACAGGTGGAACGGTGAACTGCCAGCTCCACATCCTGCTCATGCCAAGCTCCCCAAAACCTCATATTCCATCCAGCCTCAGAGCACTGCAGATACACTGAGGGACACAGTGACCAACCCCTGCTCCAGTTACAGTGAAAAAAGCTGAATTTCTTGCCTCGCAGAGCTCGTGACAATTTTATGCTTCACTGCTGCTCATCACCTTACAAACAACTTGTGTGATGTAGCTGGATTTGGACAGCTGCTTTCCAACAGGATGGTCCCTCCCAAGAACCATCCAGGAGAGACTCTGAGGCCAGCTGGGACTGATACACAGAGGAGGAGATCGGGAACCCTGGGAGAGCCTTGTTTGTTTTGGGAAACTTTCACTCCCCAATGAAAAGCCAAAGGGAAGATGTCCAGATGAGCAATGCAGCTGCATCCAGGGCAGAGCTGCTTCCAGCTGAGCTGAGGGAAGTCTTGGGAACCTCAGTGAAAAGGAACAGGCCAAAATAAACCCCAAAAGCCCAAGGTCCTGACTCAAAGAAAGGAATCCTACAGCAGGTAAACCTCTCCAGATGAGAAAAATTGAAGTTTTCTGGTATTTTCCTTTGAGAAGAGTAAAGGAGATACAGACACATGGCTACCTTGTGGATTTTTCCAAGGCCAAGGAGCCCTGGGACACTGAGGGATCCCATCATGGGAACTGCAGCCCTATGGAGCACAATGGCAGTGCTTGCACAGCACCTTTTCCAGCAGGATTCCCTTACTCCTTTTATCCTCTTCTCCATAGTAACAGTCACATCACTAATTAGCATTTCAACAGCAGTAAGAGAAACTGGGGGGAAAACAGCTGAACTTCCAACTACATTGTCTGGAAATGCAGCAGTGCTGCTGGCTGACAGTTGTGACTGTCAGGAAACGATGGAATTTGAGTTGGAAGGACACCAAAGTTCACCCCATTCCATCCCCTCTCATGGCAGGGACACCTTCCACTAGCCCAGGCTGCTCCAGCCTGGCCTTGGCCACTTCCAGGGATCCAGGAGCAGCCACAGCTTCTCCAGGCAACAGTTGTGATCAATTATGAACAAAATTACCAAGAGGTCTACAGGAATCAGTCCCAGGACACTGATGCACCATTTTCAAGGTCTATTTACAGCTGCTTGCTGGCCCATGTACAGCAGATTTATTCATTCCTTGGCTCACATATAAACATACATAAAGTATTGTAACGCTGAAACAGCGACCACACGTGAGCCAAGTAATTTTCACAACGAACATGGCACCGTTTTTAATGAAATTGTTATCAAACCACTCAGGAATGCAGCAAGTCCTCCAGTGGGAGATGCCCAGCACAGCCTCACTGGCTCTACGTGGTCGGGTCACTCACACAACGTTCCTGTTGCGCGGAATCCAACGTTTCCATTTAAACCCAACTCCACTTCCAAAAGCCACATTATAATTAATAAACACATCTAGCCATCTCATTTTCTTAGCTTTAGCTGATGAAAGTGTATCACTTCACAAAGTATTATCGCTGCCCTTGTCCCTCCTGGGACCCTGCAGGGCTGCCCATGGACAGTGCTCCAACCCTGCTGAGCTCGTGGTCACGGCACAGGAACCACCTGCAGTGCACCACGGCACACACTGGCCTTCAAATGGTCATACAAACACCAAATAACCAGGGCTCAAGGTGGCCAGATTCTGGTTTAAAACAGGTTCAGTCTTGCAAGACTTGGGATAATTTATTTTCTGTTAACACGAAGCAACTCTGAGCAAGCAGAAGGTTCCACCAAAATAAATACATAAATGTTTAAATTTCTACATTTTCCTACCAAGTCATGGTCTTAATGCTGACCACAGGGTCCCTCAGCACCTCCCTGAATCAGTGATTCTTGCTGCACCCACACACAGATCAGGATTTCACATTCAGAGCACAGCATGAAACTTTGCCAGCATTCCATCAAAAAAATTGGGAATTACATAATTCAAACCTCCTTAATAAAAGGCTATCTTGTAACTTCACAGAAATTAGTATTTGAAGATGGAAAATGCTTTACAATCTCAAGCTGTGACCTAAAAAATTAGCTATAGACTCTTCACACCAGAGCAGCTGGGATGTGGCAGCAACACCAAGTGGTCCCAGCAGCGAGGTGGGAATTGGCTTCCTTGAAGGAATAAACCAGTTCTGTGCAGATGCAGAGTCCCCTACAAGGGTCCCCATGAAAAATGTGTTTGAGATTCAATGGCTACATACACCTCGATGTTTCTAAATTTGATCAGTAATGCAGAAAGGTTCTGCTTAAATCTTCATTTTACAGGGAGCAGGAAAGAAGCCACAGCTGCTGTCTTATCCCATGAAATCCAGAGGCCAACGTCCCCACAAATGTGTGCCTCACCATTAGTGTTTCTTTGAGGGAAGAAGTTGCATTTGGACCCTAAGTCAGACTTGCATCAATTCAGATTTTATAGTGATCCAGAACTAAGCAGCATAAGAGGATATCAGAGATTTCGATTCTGGTTTAGACCAACTTTTGAATGGAAAAAAAAAAATCTCTGGGGAATAAGAGAACCTTTTTCCACAGCACTCATCTGCTTCCCTCAGAATAATTCCAAGAAGAGACAGAATTTCAATAAGGCATCTCTCTGAGGGCTCCAGTGGAAGGATACCCGGGGGAGCACCCGAGACCCACGGAGCTCCCGCGCTCAGACAAGCTCCATTACCTCCCATACAGAATCAAGGAGGAACAAGTACAGCAAATTTGGAGGGAGGGGAAATTTGGAAGTGTTTTCCAATGCACTCCACAGGCACAGCTCAGCGCCTGCCTGCACAGCCTGACAGAGCACAGCCAGAGCTTTCACCTGCTGAAATGGGGAAAAACGTTTAAAATTCCACCGTAATTCCAGAAGCTGAGAAAATGGAGACTGGGGAATGGGGGAAGAAGCATAAGCAGCAGCATTACAAACCCCAGGTATCCTCCATAAATATCCATGGGTTCTTTCTGCTGGAGTTGGGGGAAGAAAACAGGCCAGCTATACAGAAACAGTGCAGAAATCCCTGTCTCTGGAGCTCTCCAAGTGAGAGCCAGGACAGCCATGCCCAGCACAGCAGGAAAGCTTTCCTGGCCCCTCAAGGGATGGACAGTGAATGCAGCTCATCAGATTTGTGGCAATTTCCCTCAGGAGCCTGGAAAAGCACCCTCACACCCCTCCATGCAGCTCAGGATTCTCTAGAATAAGGAGGAGAAGAAGAGGTGCTGCTCTGTAGATCTGAAGGGGGATAAAGAGTTGCTTCCAAGAAATCCACATAAATTTGAGATAAATACCCTCTGCCCCTATCAGGAGCTCCCAGCACAGCCACCTCCAGGCACACACACAGAACAAACCCTCACGTTCCCACCCTTTTCAGAGAAATTCCAGCACTGGAGTGAGCTCCAGGACCTGCCTTTCACTACAATTTATGGATATTCCCACAGCAATCACAACCCAACTATGCTCAAACAGCAGCAGCTACCCAAGTGAAAAGCCAAAGCACAGAGAGAATTCCATTAGTCCTAAAAAAAAAACCACCTTTCAGCGTGTTTGATTGTGACAAAATTGTAGCATCAAGTAAAATTTAATTAGATGGCTTTCGGAACGAAAGCAGGTGATATATTCTTGAAGTTCCTTTATTTTGCCCTGCAGATAAGATGTATGCTGAGATCTACAGTTTTTAAAGCTTGTGTTGTCTGTGCTACTCAGTAAAAAATACAAAATAAGCTGATACTGTACTCAAAAACACAGACACTTGTGTGGGCTGAAGAGCCCAAGGTTTAATTTGTCCCACTGCAATAAGCACAAAGGGTAGGAAATATGTGGTTCCTGGGAAAACAAACTGTCCTTTAACACCTTTAATGGAAAGAATTGCATGGACAATGCAGTCCCTAGGAACTGGGGGCTGACAGAAGTCTAAATTCAGGAATGACCAAGCTGTTTGGAGATCTCCAGTGAATCAGGGGAGGTCAGAATCTGTGATGACATCACAGAATGGTTTGGGTTGGAAGGGACCTCAAATTTCATCTCGTTCCTGCCCCACCTTGGTCAGGGACACCTTCCACTACCCCAGGGTGCTCCAAGCCCCTTCCAGCCTGGCCTTGGACACTTCCAGGAATGGGGATTAAGGTCCAAGATGTTGAACTTCACTGACCCAGTGAAGGCAAGAAGGGTGGAGGTTCTCTGGAATTAAAGCCATAATTTAAGATGAGCTCACAGCTGCTGCCATAGCTCAGCCTCCTCCCCCTTTCCATTGCTCCTAAATACGAGTGAGGTGGGACAAACACGTCCTTGTCCTCCCCAGGCTGAATCCCTCACCAGCAAGTCCCACTCAGTTCCCTCAGTACCTCCTCCTAAGGGAAGAGGAGGGTGAATAATGCCACTAGGCCACAACGAGCTCTGCTTCATTTAAAAATGAAATCTGCGTTTCTTACTCTGTGCTTGGTTTTAACACATCAAGAAAATACAATTTTTCAAGAGAAAAGAGTGACAGACAGACACATTTGTCACCTTTGCAGTCCCAGACATTTGCATCTGTGTAATTCCATGGCAAATTGGATATAGGTTACTATTAATATCTGAACTATTTCCTTTCCTTTCTGAATACTGATTGGTGAAAAAGATGCACGCATCCCATTTTAAAGCACACTAATTAGCCAAGGAGGAGCCAAGGAAGTCACTGTCAGCCTTCAAGAACACACAGGCTCCCTCACAGAGGGAAAAACACAGCAAACATCCATGGACTGGCTTCTGAGCTGGCTGAATATCACCTCCCCAGCCAAGAAAACTCTGTGGTGACAGGAATGTTACAACCAGACACTTCAGCAACTGAAATACAGTTTTTTTTGGACTATGCAGGTGGCAGCCCCACACCCAGATATGTAGGATCAGACACCATTACCTGGCTGGACAATCCAGGAGGTCCCCAGAAAGCAACGTGAAAAATGTAATTGAAGAATGTGCCCAAGTCTACAATTCCTGAGTTACAAGTGCCTTACAACCACCTCAAATTACACAGCAAAGAAAGAGCTGAAAGGAAGCACCTCCTTGATTTCCACACAGCATCCCTCCCCTATTGTCTGGGGCCTGGCAAGTTAAGGTCAGAATAAAAGGATTCCTTAAAAATCCCACATACATTGAAAGCACCTACAGCTTCCACTGATCTTTCTTCCTTTCTATTCTAAGCCCCGAACAGGTTTAAGTAGCAGTTGTCATCATTAAAGAAGCTGCTCCCCTCCCACTCTCCATTCTCCCAGGAAAGGAGCATCCTGGCAGCACCAGGCACAGGTAAGAAGGAGCAGCTGCTGTCTCACCCAGGGTACAGAAATCCAGGCTGGAGAGGGGTGTGAGGAGGGCACAGACCACCTCAGCCACACGGGATCAGAGAGCACAGCTGGATAACGAACTAAGGAAATGAAATAATGAGTAATAATACTAAAATAAGGAAGTCAAATATCTGTCTGTGCCCTCTGAGGTGCCCTGGCTGCTCAGAGGGGCTTGAGAGTGCAGGTTCTGCCCCTGCCCAGCTGCTGGTGCCCAGCTTCTCCCTCGGGCACTCCAGAGCTTGCCCATGACCCAGCTGAAGCTGCCAGACCAGCAGGAACCTCCTGATGCTCCTCTGGCCACTGCTCCCTGCTCGGAGGGGCTGGCTGGGCTCCTGGCCCTGGCTGGAGGGTGGGGGAGCCTCACCCCTGCACCCCAGGAAGGGCACAGCCCTCCCCTCCAACACAGGCCATCCAAACACACAGCACAGAGGGTGGCAAGGAAAACGCTCAGAGGACAAAAGGACGGAGTCAGGATTAAACCCAGTCCCTTGATCCCCGGCCAAATGGCTGACCCGTAAGCCCACGCAACTTCCAGAGCCAATTTAAAATCCTGAGTGTGGTACACTTTAGGTTATAAAATCATATTTAGACACACATTTTGAAGTGTTCTTTGCTCTGCTGGTGGCTAAAAACAATTCCTTTGTCATCAAATCTTGCTTCAGCAAGCTGACGTGACGTTTTTAACTCAGGAAATAAGATAATTATGGTTCAAGGTAAACAACTACAACTGTGCATCATAAACAGTTTCTAATTTTAAGCCTGAGTCCCTCTAATGCCATCCATACTTTAAAGATAGTTTCCTTACAAATGGTTTAGGCTGTCTGAGCAGCTTGTGACTGAGCCTGTGCTGACGAGCAGCAGCAAGGCAGCACATCCAGGGAAAACAGAGGCTGGTGGAGCAGGTGAGCTCCTGTGCCAATATCACAGGATGGTTTGGGTTGGAAGGGACCCTAAAGCCCATCCAGTGCCACCCCTGCCATGGGCAGGGACACCTTCCACTGTCCCAGGTTGTTCCAAGCCCTGTCCAGCCTGGCCTTTGACACATCCAGGGGCAGCCACAGCTTCTCTGGGCACGCTGTGCTAGGGCCCCACCACCCTATAAGCAAAAATTTACACCTAATATCCAAGCTAAATCTTTCCTTCTTTCAGTTAGAAGCCAATCCTCCTTGTTCTGCCACTCCAGGCCCTTGTCCAAACTCCCTCTCCAGCTCTCCTGGAGCCCCTTTATCACTAGAAAGGATTCTAAGGTCTACCCAGAACCTTCTTTTCTCCAGGCTGAACAAGCCCAGCTCTCCCAGCCTGTCAAGGTACGCCAAACATCAAAGGAGGAAAATACACTCTGAATCTTAAATAGCTGGAGAGGCAGAAGCCATGTCTGCTGGAGCAGGGAGCTACGCACTTACGCAACCCTGGCTGAGAGTCATCCCGGATCCAGACCTCAAACGCCCCACTGGCACCAGCAGCAGCAGCTCAAGTTGGAACTTGAGCTTTCAACAGCGCTGAGCTGTTCCACACCAGGCAGAAAACGCAGCTCCAGCCCCTCAGTGCTGCTGCTGCTGCCCTAAAATGTTCCCAAAGTTACCTGGGAAGGAAGGCTGGCAGGAAAGAGCAGCATCCCAGCTGAGCCTGCGGCCAGGAGGGCTGGAGCACACGGTGTGAGCGTGGCTGGAGCTCCAGGGAGGTGTGGAGGGCATGAGCTGTGCCTGCCTTGGGGATGAATCACTGTGCTCACAGGTAGCAATAACCCCAGGAGCGCTCCAAGGTGTTAGCCTGGCAGGTTCCCATTCCTCCCCATCCCAGGAAAACGTGCTCAATAACAGCCAAAGAGCCCAGCTGAACGGGGGAAGGTGGCAGAGCAACCCATAGAGACAAAGCATTCTTACAGGGCTGTGCTGGAAGAGCCAGCAGTGGTCAGAAGAATCCCAAAAGCCAGTGGTGGGAACGCTCCTGCTGGAGCCTGAACGGCGCAGAGGAGTCACGCGGTGGAGCCAGGGCAGCCCGGGAGAGCTCGCTCCTCCAAAACTTTTCCTCACTAAACAATTCCAAAGCACTCCACCCCATTGCTGCTATTGTTGTCAGAGAGGGAATTCCAACCAGAACAACGATTTCCACAACATTTTTCCGTTGGAAGAAGAAAACTGGTAACACTGCACAGCAAAAATAAAATTTCCACAGTAGTTCATCCAGTACCACAAGTCTCCTTCCTAAAGGGAACAGATTATCGTGCCTGGAGTCTGCTGTGCAGCATGGATGTATTTTTAGCTCCAAGGATCCGAAGGCAGCGATGTGGTGGAAGCCTCCCAGGCTGGAGATAGCCATGGGAGGTTCATCTCTCCGCACCCTGGAGAGGGCAGCTCATTAAAAGGCTGCTCAGAGCAGAAGGAAACAATTCACCCATTCCCTGAAGAAATCCCTCTTCCCACGACTGCACACAAGGCAGCTCCTCTAACCTCCCCACCCTCCCTCCACAGCTCATCCCGATTTGCACCATTTCTGGGGAACAGCAATGCATTAAAAGAGCTCTTCACTCCCAGATCTCTGGCACAATTAATGGAGATCAATTCAAAGCCGTGCTCATGGCACAACATGGGATAAAGGGCTCAAAGTCAAACCAAGTGTCCAGGAGACTGAAAGGAGCAGAACAACAGTCTGGCTTTATGTTTTACCTGCAACTAACCCTCTTCTATGAGTACTGGTAAAGCAACATCAGCTGCTGTCCAAACCCAAGTGAGCAAACCTGAAAAATATCACGGAATTGTTTGGGTTGGAAGGGATCTTAGAGCTTATCCAGTTCCAGCCCTGCCATGGCAGGGACACCTTTCACTAGCCCAGGTGGCTCCAAGCCCTGTCCAACCTGTCCTTGGACACTCCCAGGGATCCAGGGGCAGCCACAGCTGCTCTGGGCACCTGTGCCAGGGTCCCCCCACTCTCACAGGGGAGGAATCCTTCCCAAAATCCCATCAAACCTCTTCCTCTGGCAGTGTGAAGCCATTGTCCTTGTCCTGGCACTCCAAATCACGATGAAGAATATCCTCAGTGAAGCTTCCAAGGCAGCCAAACACTTCAATGGCCACCAAAGCCTCTCTGCTCTCCTGGTTAAACACGAGCCAATGTTTAACCCAATTATCAGGTGCAGGAGTCCATTCCCAGGCCAGAAAAGGTGACTTAGTCACATTAGCTTCTACCTACAACAGTGCCATTCATCACCAACCCTTCAGGGACACACCTTTGGGAAAAACACCTGGCAGGTGTGCAGGGATCACTGCCTCAGATCCAGGAGTCCAAAAAACGGAATAAAACACAAGCAAAACTATGAATTAGAGAGCAATCAATAATTAGATTATTATTTCACAAATTGCCAGGTATTCTGGCTGTCCCATCCAAGAGCTCAGAGATGGCACTGCCTGGATGCAGACTGCCTCACCTACCCACCTGCAGAGGTACATTTGGGAATCCCAAATGTGCCACTGGGGAACACAAACGCTCAATTCTGAGTATTGGTGGGACAACAGGCAGAAAAGGAGAGGAAAAATAAAAATAAAGGAAAAATGCAGAACGGCTACACACAAGACCCAAAAGTCCTGAGTAAAGCCAAGCTATTTTTCAGACTTTTACTAAAATTAGACTGGCCTTAGACTATGAATCACATTCACCCCTCGTGAGCAGCAAAAGAGCACCAACATCAGCTGGTGAAAGACACAGAAATGCAGAGGGGAGCAGAGGTAACCTGTACAACCAAGGCTCCTCCACACCCCCAGCACCCACTGAACTGAGCTTACAGACTCAAAAACCAGCTTATTTGTAACACTCCCAGCATCCAAAGGCAAAGCTACTAAAATCTGGTGTGTAGGTCTAGGAAAATAAAGCTTTGCTTCAGCCCTGCCTCCCCTCCTGAGCCTTCCTCCTCCGAACGCCTGAAATAGGATGTTACACTACTTGTTTATACGCCATTACAGAAAAACATGCTGGGTTTCTTCATCCTGCCTTACAGAACAAAATGTTACCCAATTCCTCCTGTAAAGTACCAAGAAATAACTGTGAGACCATATGCATGGGGAAGCAGCCACGTGCTAGAGTAATCCGGCCTTACGTAACCGGCCATGGGCGTCTGACCACAACCAGCAGCAAAGGAAGGGCCAAGCCAGCTGCCCTTCAAAACCCACCCAAAAATTCATTTGGAGGGGTCTGATTCAGGAGAAAAATGAAATTCATGTCTCTAAGTTACAATTTGAGGTTTCTGCCATCAAAGTTCGCAGAGCAATCCTGGGTGGTTGATTTTTCTCTCCTTGAGCTCATCGCCATTAACCAAAAATGAATCATTTGTTAATTGGTGAGTTCAATTTGAACCCATGCCACCACGATCCTTATCTCAGGAGTCAGAAGGCAGCTCCTTCCAAGGATCCAACAAAGGCAGAGATCAGCATCCCAGAACGTCAGGAACCTGAGCACTGATAATCCTGGAGATCTCACAGAGTAGTTTAGTTTGGAAAAGCCTCTGAGATCATCAAGCCCAGCACTGCCAGCACCACCACTAAACCACGGGTCACATCTACGTGGTTTGTAACACCTCCTGAGCAAGAGGGTCCCCACAGCCTCTTCTTCTCCAGGCTGAGCCCCCTGAGCTCCCTCAGCCCCTTCTGGTGCTCCAGACCCTGCCCCACATCCCTTCCCTGGACACGCTGTGTGGGCTCAGCTCAGAACAGCAGCCGTGCTGTGGACGAGGCAGCCAAAAACAAGAGGTGCAAAACAAACCCAAAATCCACAGGTAATAAATGTAATAAAATCCATCTTTGTCCCCTTTCTATCTGCTGGCAGCCAAACGGAAACACAAAAGCACAAACACATTATTATGAAAAGCAAGTCAACTTCTTGCGCAGGGATAAGGATAACAAATGTTTCACTGCTCTGTTTCAAGCGTTTCAGATCTTAAACTGAACCCAGAAAAGAACATTACCAGTTAAGCTATTACAGCAAATGAAATGAAAATTGAAAATCAAGTCTAACCGACATTAAATCTAAATAAATATATCTCAATTCCAGGACCATAATACATAGTTCTTATGATAAAAAACTTCTGGAGAAGGGAAAAACATCCTTGGTAACTCTGAATATTAAGCTATGGTACCACAGGCATCTCACAGTTTGTCTAATAAAGTGTCTCCTGCAAAGAGCCCTGGTTCCTCCAGTGCAGGCTGCAGTGTGATTAACAGAGGTCCATTAGAGAGGCAATCCATAACCTGGCTCCTGCGAGGAGTCCCTGCCACATCCGTCTGCATTTCCATGGCAACCAGGCAGGAAAATATAAAGCAAATTACAGTTAAATGAAAATTATTCTCCATGACAATATATGTTAATGCGGGAACATTTGCAAGGCCATTCCGGATAAAATGTTTACATTCACACGTGTCTACAAAAATAAATAAAAGGCAGCTGGAGCAGCTAATGGATCACCCAAAGAGAAGGATTAGTCTTTTTTTGCCCCCACAAGTTTTAGTTTACTCATAAGAATAAAATTCTTCTGAAGAATACCCAAAGTATTTGCCCATTTCCAAACAGAAACACTCTTTAAGGAACAGGTTTTCAGGAGACCTAAAACACACATTTCTGAATGTTGGGAACCTTTAATTTTCCTGGCTGCAAACAAAGACACATTTATGCCTCCCCATCCCAGCAGAAAATGGTTTAAACGAGAGGTTAAGTTTATATTTAGAGAGATCTGACTGAAACTGGAATAGTGACTTATTTTCATCAGCTGTAACTTACTGAGAACTGGAAGATGTTTTATACCTCAGAATATGGGGCGCTGACTCCACAGCTGGGAGAATCTTATACCCCACCAGGGTTTAAAGACAGCACAGGCCACTGAAATACTTCTAGAAAAGCCCACAATTAAGGCTGTAAAATCTGGTCATACTCTCCCACCATCACCAATTACCCTGAACAGTCCTTTTTTTGTGAATGTATCTCAATTTAAGGAATATATCTTCTGGAGCATGAGGGAAGTTAATTGGAATGAGGCTCGTCAAGATGCAGCCACTAGGTTATTTTTTTTAACTCCCTTGGCTCGTACCCCACAGAAAAGCCCAGAGAAAGGAAGGAGGTTATAAACTGACTCACAGTCTGTGCCACTGAAACGCCACGTTTTCAGAAGGCTCTGAAATACTGCCCTGGAAAACAGCCCCCCCTCAGCCGCCCTGCCAAGTTCCTTTCCCATGGAAATGCTCTGCCTGTTCCGCGAGTAGCACAGGTGCAGGTTTCTTGGGAAGGCCCAGAAAGAGCACAAGGCAGTGTTTGAAGGCGTTTGGGAGAGCTGGGAGCACAGAGCGGGGCATTCAGCGCGCTGGCACATCTGAGCTGGCTGCGTGCGCGCTCCCGCTGACCTCTGCATCTGCCTCCTGCCTCCGCCTACGGAACAACGCTCCCATCATGAGGATCGTAACTTTTTATGACAGTGGGAAAACTGCAATCTTCTCCACGAGCTCACTCCACCCTGCACATAAAACTGCTCATAGGTTCAGCCATAAAGCAAACTCCCTCCTTTGAAGTTG